TTTGAAGTTTATTTAGATAATGTTTTCTTAGTTTAATTATATATATAAGTTATTTTCCAACCAACAAATTCCCATAACGAGGGCCTTTATATAGGATATAAGAAGTGGACCAAAACTTGCAAGAGATGCTTCTAGGATCAATATTTCGATCAAAATATCTGGCACTTCGTATATTGAAATCAACAATGTGACACTTGAGGATATCTCACTATTTCCATGCCCACATGTTATGAGCTTTACTAAGGATAGCATCATACAATTACATAAACTGCAGACATTTTAAAAATGGAATAAATGTAAATAATTAAAAGAAGCGTTTCACATGAACGTTAAGTATGCTTTTTCCAGAGCATCAATAAAACCTTAAGGCGATTCAGTTAATGAATGAATGTGCGTATCTATGCATGCACATACACGGATTGTATCTGTTAAGACTAGATGAAATAGCTGTGTTTGCTGGGATACTTCAAGAAACATTCTCTATACTGTGTCCTGTCATTTTTATAATTTGTTCTTCTAGCACTGAACCAGTTGGAATATATCCAATTAGCTGTCTAGGTCAAACCGAATGTTCTGATTAGTAATTAATAGTACTGTGTGTGTGTGTGTGTGTGTGCGTGAGTGCGCGTACGGGTAAAAAGGAGACCATACCACCTTGGTCCTCATATCTATCATCAAATGGTTAGAATGATTGATCCTCAGTGCATTATGAAATTTAAGTGACTCAACTCTTATTTCTAACTCAATTAGGACTCTAAAGTCTATTAGAGAGACTGAGCCATCGGCTCAACACATTAAGACAACAAAATGACAAAAGTTATAAACAATTAAAGGTCTAACGGTCTATCCACGATGTCAAACAGGATGTGTCCCGGGCGCATTTGAGGCGACAAGTCATCCTCGACGCGATAGACTAGCATTCGATTCAGTTCAAATTCGGAGACGACTGAACCTTTTGACCTAGGGGCACTGACATTATCGCATCGTGAAAAGATGAGTTGCTGCAAACTGATTGGCAATTGGGCTGAATCAGTGATGCGGGTGACACGAAAGCCAAAAGGCGCAGCAAGTCGTGCAAATAAACGATCGGGGATATCAGGAAACGCGAATTCTCTATGAACCTATGTACAGTGTTACAACAGAAACAAGAATATGTATTTGCATATTAACTCAGCGAAAAAGAAGCGCATATTTTAGTAGAGGCGGCATAATTACTATAAAAGCTGTTCAAGCTTTGCTCTACTCCACTAACTCCCGACAGGCCTAAGAGGCTTATAGTAGCGTACAATAAAGAAGGATCCCAGTCCGTATCAACACTCATTAGTGAGTCTTGGGATAAATCTTATACTTGTAAAATATCTTGATAGAAGTCAAAGCTGCTGACGTTGGGAATTCACGCTTGCAGTCCCCTATTCCGCCACTGCTGATTAAAGGAAATTGGCTGGATCAGCAAAGGATTGTATTAGTTTGTCCAAGTGTTCTGCATGCGGCTATTCATATACACACGGATTCAACAATATAACTATGCTGTCTCACTTATGAAACAGGGAATCAACGGAAAATCTTTGTAGAACAACTGAGTTTCGAAGAATCCCTTAATAAATTGCTGCTGGAGTATCTTTCATGTCGTTTGAAGAGGCGAGTGGAAAGGATTCGCAAGTTGGTTCCATCGGAGGCTGTG